AAGAAAGAGTGATTGACTATATCCAAGCTTCTGGAATGAAATGTTCCAAAGACATGGTGAAATCAATTCGAGATGGAAAGTCAATCGACTTCAATGCGATTGCTCCAAGATTGAACGCTCCAACTCAAAGGACTAGGTCAGACAAGTATGTATATGTTCAAATCAAAATACAAAAACAAAATAAACAATGAATGAGAGCATGCCCCATTGCTGCCAATGGTGATTGTCACAATGGCAGGAGTGTGTTGGGATATGACAAAATATGAGTTTTTACGTTCCAAGAAAAACTATTCAAGTACAAAGTTTTGACACGCACGATCAGATTTTGATGGTGATGTCAGCATTTGATGCAAGACTGCCAGACAATCAATATCCACATGAAAAGGGAATGACCCTATAGAAGTGGAATATCGATATTGTGTACGATACAGTAGGGAATAATACAAGATGTCCCAAAGTACTGTAATCCACAGAGAATCCTCGTGGAAGTCGGATTGAGTTCTGTAAACAAGGGATTTCCCAAAAGGAAATTTGTTGAACTCACTTTTGTGACTGAATCATCAATCCAAGCCAAACATTAATCAAATACAAACAATTTCACTCAAAGTATGCCTAATACATGAGAACTATTATTGTGGAAGTGTTGTACAGTCGACTAAAAATTTAGATTGCAGAGAGTTTGTTCTGAGCGCTAAAGGCACTCACGATAGAGCACAGTCTGCTTATTTCTAAACATCCTGCCATCGGTCGATCCTGCCTTGTGGACGTCCTCTGACTCCCACTGGCTGGGGGATAAGAAAGAATGGGCCGTTGTCATCTCCAAAGCCCGCCTCAAAATCAGACAATCTCTTTCAGGCAGGCGCTGATTGATGTTGGAATTGGCCCACCCCCCTCCTCACCCAACAGCAGTCCCCTGACTTACTTGTTTACATATTTACCAAAGTGATTCTTGCACCAGTACATCACAAGCCACATATACCCCAGTCTAGCTACCACATACATATTCTCCACCCCACCTTGCATGGAAGAGTCGATTGTCCTTCAACGCATTCGACTTACAAGCAACATTCCTCTATTGAACGCCTTTATGTGGTTCAAACTTTGTTGACCAAATGCAACCTAGTTCCTGGCCTCTACAGCTGTATTACACCGACAGTTGGATACTCTAGAAGTAGCATAAAACCAATTAATGATTCAGTTTTATATATATGTATGCATGGTCGCTTCCTTTGATGAGTTCCCCAACGATGGGTTCCATAGTTTTGATAACTAGTACCTGGTACTATTGGAGGAAGCCACCTGGAATAGCATTTGCTTGTCTTGGGAGGGGCCTGTGCCTTTGCCATGTTGTTTGCTCATGATGATTAGTTCAAACGGCTGGAATTAGTATGAGCATACTTTGAGTCAAAAGGTTGCTAGCAGGATATTTTCCTGGTTTTCAAAGAGACAGACATAATAGTTATAAAACGAAAAAAATCTCAACTATTACAACAGATACCCAAAACAGAAGCCTTCCCGGGAACCAATCTTCCAAGATCCGGATGCGCCCGCGGGGATGTGCGTTTTTTGTGTACGTTAAGTACGGTGGACCTCGTAGAAAAATGCCTCGCTGAATAACTTTCTGGAATCGGTTCCGTAAACTTATACCGATTATAAAATGCATATTAAAAATAATATGAGTGTTACACCTGAACAAGTTCTTCTTTTTGTGCCCAATCTTGTTGGGTATGCCGCATTATTTTATCAAGCAACTCTTTGTTGCTAATGATTGCCTTCCCAAAGCACTGGTTTCTAGCCACTTGTTTGTACCTCGCAAGCTTTGTTGGAGACTTGTTTGGTATGTGGTGAAATATATTGTGAACCATGCTCATTTTTCAACGCCTGCTTTCTAATGTTTGTCTTGGTTACACGATTTCAATAAGATGGACTTCTGGCACGGAAACTAAATCAAACGTCTGAGTTCGGTGGGTTAATTGATATGTTGACTGACAGGCTTTCAACCCTCGGACTGCTATATGTGCTCAGTGGAGATTATCAACCACAAGATCTAGAGTTTGGTTTTCCGGTATTTCGATTGACATTCCTCGTGCTGATAGCTCTTGATATAGCTTCTCACTGGAGTCAGATGTTCAGCACTGCAATTCTTGGGGCGCACCATAAGGGCAATGATGCAAACGCAGGAAGGAACTCCATTGTCAGATTGTACTATCGCAATTATTTCTTCTTTGGTTATCTTTGTGTTGGCACAGAGATACTTTACATTGCTGCATATGCATTTCAGTTCACCGAGGGCATGTCGTGCCATCGACTTTTGCAGGCAACACTATGGGTTTCTCTTCCAGGGTGCTTGCTCAAGCAGCTGGTTAATGTCATACAACTTTTCTCGGCGTGTTATTCAGTTGCAAACAAGGATGCCAAATCCAAGATAAAATAGGGGTTATAGCTAGATAGAAAACTTAAACCCGTTCTCTTGACAGACCGTGTTCTCAAGTTACTGCCAGACTCTCTTCCAAGCTCTGCTCACATCAGACTTAGGCTTCCTCGAGCTCCAAAAGGATTCGAGTGAGCCTTCGAAATCCTCTGCCAATACATGTGACGAAACATTCGAGTTGCCCTTTCGCATAGCTGAACTGACACGTCGGACAGCACGAATTGCAGCTTCATTTACCAGAAACTCGAGTTCAGCTCCGCTAAATCCCGTGGTGGATGCAGCAACTGCAGAAAGATCGACACCGCCATCTCGCCCTAAAGACATCGGTCGTTGTTCATCAACTCCATTGCACTCCTTGAAACCTGGAAGCTTATTTGCATGAACTTGTAGAATTTTTTCACGCCCCTTAGCATCTGGAAGACGAAGCGTGACGATTCGATCAAAACGGCCAGGTCGAATTAGTGCTGGATCCAAAACTTCTCGTCTATTTGTTGCAGCTAAGACACAGATTCGTTTCGAGGAATCGAGACCATCCATGCATGCAAGAAGTTGATTCAGTGTCTGCTCGGCCTCGTCGTTGCCCCGCCCGCTCGTGAACTGGCCTCCCATATCTCGCGCTTTTCCTAGGGCATCGAGCTCGTCGACAAAAATGATGCAAGGGGCCATGCGAGCGGCACGTTCAAACAGCTTTCTAACCCGCGCTGCTCCACGACCAACAAAAACTTCAACAAAATCACTTCCACTGCAATACAGCAAAGGGACCCCTGCAGTTGCAGCTGTTGCCCTCGCAAGCATTGTTTTTCCCGTCCCAGGCGGTCCTTCCAGCAATAGTCCCTTTGGTGCCCGGGCACCCAAAATAGCATACTTATCCGGAAACCGAAGTGCATCAACGAGTTCTAAAACTTCCCCTTTAGCCTCCGGTATGCCTTCAATTTCATCAAAGTTCGCCAATGGCAGTTCATTGGTGGCCAATTTTCCTGGGATATCATCTGATCCTGAGTTATTTCCAAACGCTTTGTACATTCTCCAAAGAATCAATACGTAAAAGAACAAAATGGCAGATCTCGCAACGATTGCAACGGTGTTTGCCGATCGCTTTTGAGGGGCTGCACCGAATTGAATATTGCCCGCTTGAAGTTGATCAATTAGTTCTGGTGAAGCCATGACCTTTCTTGTGAAAGCAGTAATCCGTTTCTCCTCGCCACCATTTGTCGATTTTTTTGTGAGGCTGTAAACAAGCCTGTCCCCGCTGATCCGAACAGCGTCTACTTTCACTTCATTACCTCCTTTGTTTCCTGACTCTTCAACTAAGTCGAGAAATGTACTGTATGGTACCTCAATTGGCGGACCAGCATCTCCCGAGGCACTCTTCCCTCGATGGTATTTGTAGACTTTTGTGCCTGATGAACCGAGTAGGATGGCAATAATTGCGGCTTGAACAAGTAGAATAGATTTTGCTCGCCGGGACAGTTTCGAGAAGCGTGAAATCTTTGACCTTGAGAACGAGCGAAGTCTCGTAAAAAATCTCTTGAGCACTCCAAATAATCCTCTATTTGGGTCGTCTGACGGCATGCCCTCGTCGGATCTGGAGCGAAGTGGGGTCCGCAATCTTGATTCATAGCTTCCAACGAACGATGAACGAGGATTAAAGCTATATCGGCTTGGAAATCTTCGCGCACTTAAACTTGGCAACAGAATATAGCCTTCAACGCTGCAAAATACTAAGCAAAGAGTGACAATAAGTACAAAGCTGTTGAATCGCATGTTTTGATTTTTTTGTGTGGATCAAAAATTGGTTCATTCATTCATATCATTCATGCGTTCGAATTTGTCGACTCAAAAAAGTGGGCTCTTACTGTACTTGCGAGGGATGTCCTCCGATATGTCTTGTCGATTGCTCTGCAGGGATGTCGGAGCTGACTTGCCGGCGACAAACTGTTCGCAATGCAAAGCTTGGGCTTCCTTGAAAACGAGCCTGCCATAAGCTTCGTTTTCATACGTGGACGCTTCGTCCATGGACGAAGAATAGTCGGGCACCTTCGTCCATGGACGAAAAATAGTCGGGCACCTTCGTCCATGGACGAAAAATAGTCGGACACCTTCGTCCATGGACGAAACTTGGTCGCATTTCGAGAAAGAAATATTATTTTTTAAAACCTCTTGATCGGATGAATCCTAAGTCTATTCCGCATCAAAGTCTAATTGATTGTTGGCGTTCGAATTTCTGAAAGTGTGCAACATACCGGTATATCTATAGCGCCCTGCAAACACATATATCTGGAAACTTCGGCGTATTGCTGTGAAGAGATTTTTAGTGTTGCCTCGAGTTTTTGTCGTTACGGCCTGTCACTAGCCGGGATTTCTTGCGAGCTCTGAAACAGTTTCGTCCATTTCGTCCATCGACGAAGAATAGTCGGGCATCTTCGTCCATGGACGAAAAATAGTCGGGCACCTTCGTCCATGGACGAAAAATAGTCGAACACTTCGTCCAGGGACGAAAGTTCAACGGTTCGGAAGCAAATCATAAGTGCACGCGCGCCGAGTAGTTTTGAGAATAAAAGCGCGCCAGATAGCCGTGTTGGATATATTAGGATTTTCGAAGTAGATATTTGGAGAAACGAGAAAAAGAGAATGCATGTGAACGATAGAGAAATGATGTCGACTGATACGACTAAAAATGAAGACTGATGTGACTAAAAACATCGAGCGTGGCGAGTCAGAAAACGGATTATATTTCTATGGAAATCATCCTGTTGATGATGTAAGAAAGCAAGATTCAAGCAAGAGCCAAAGTTGGATACTAATCAAAGTACCGACTATAGTGGAAGGTGAACGGATAAACAGATTGAACTTGCAGCATATCAGGCTGACGTAGAGAGAATTCTGAGAATTTCCACTGAGCTGGAGAGGAAAGAGTCAAAGTCAAAAGTTGACAGACTATTCTCACTTTTTATAATATATTGCAAGCAACGAGTGAATTGGTTGATAAAGTAGGATCTTTGATTGATCTATATACTTCTATATACTGTAAGTTCATATACTTAGAAGGCAACAATACCTGGACTTGTGGGCTTGGACTAACAAACGTCTGAGCGCCACGAAAGTCCCAGACTGAATCCTGCGGGAGTTCAGTGCGTGGGTTTTGTACCGGCTGTTGGATATATTAGGATTTTCAAAGTACATATTTGGAGAAACGAGAAAAAGAGAATGCATGTGAACGATAGAGAAATGATTTCGACTGATAGGACTAAAAATGAAGACTGATGCGACTAAAGACATCGAGCATGGCGAGTCAGAAAACGGATTATATTTCTATGGAAATCATCCTGTTGATGATGTAAGAAAGCAAGATTCAAGCAAGAGCCAAAGTTGGATACTAATCAAAGTACCGACTACAGTGGAAGGTGAACGGATAATCAGATTGAACTTGCAGCATATCAGGCTGACGTAGAGAGAATTCTGAGAATTTCCACTGAGCTGGAGAGGAAAGAGTCAAAGTCAAAAGTTGACAGACTATTCTCACTTTTTATAATATATTGCAAGCAACGAGTGAATTGGTTGATAAAGTAGGATCTTTGATTGATCTATATACTTCTATATACTGTAAGTTCATATACTTAGAAGGCAACAATACCTGGACTTGTGGGCTTGGACTAACAAACGTCTGAGCGCCACGAAAGTCCCAGACTGAATCCTGCGGGAGTTCAGTGCGTGGGTTTTGTACCGGCTGTTGGATATATTAGGATTTTCAAAGTACATATTTGGAGAAACGAGAAAAAGAGAATGCATGTGAACGATAGAGAAATGATTTCGACTGATAGGACTAAAAATGAAGACTGATGCGACTAAAGACATCGAGCATGGCGAGTCAGAAAACGGATTATATTTCTATGGAAATCATCCTGTTGATGATGTAAGAAAGCAAGATTCAAGCAAGAGCCAAAGTTGGATACTAATCAAAGTACCGACTACAGTGGAAGGTGAACGGATAATCAGATTGAACTTGCAGCATATCAGGCTGACGTAGAGAGAATTCTGAGAATTTCCACTGAGCTGGAGAGGAAAGAGTCAAAGTCAAAAGTTGACAGACTATTCTCACTTTTTATAATATATTGCAAGCAACGAGTGAATTGGTTGATAAAGTAGGATCTTTGATTGATCTATATACTTCTATATACTGTAAGTTCATATACTTAGAAGGCAACAATACCTGGACTTGTGGGCTTGGACTAACAAACGTCTGAGCGCCACGAAAGTCCCAGACTGAATCCTGCGGGAGTTCAGTGCGTGGGTTTTGTACCGGCTGTTGGATATATTAGGATTTTCAAAGTACATATTTGGAGAAACGAGAAAAAGAGAATGCATGTGAACGATAGAGAAATGATTTCGACTGATAGGACTAAAAATGAAGACTGATGCGACTAAAGACATCGAGCATGGCGAGTCAGAAAACGGATTATATTTCTATGGAAATCATCCTGTTGATGATGTAAGAAAGCAAGATTCAAGCAAGAGCCAAAGTTGGATACTAATCAAAGTACCGACTACAGTGGAAGGTGAACGGATAATCAGATTGAACTTGCAGCATATCAGGCTGACGTAGAGAGAATTCTGAGAATTTCCACTGAGCTGGAGAGGAAAGAGTCAAAGTCAAAAGTTGACAGACTATTCTCACTTTTTATAATATATTGCAAGCAACGAGTGAATTGGTTGATAAAGTAGGATCTTTGATTGATCTATATACTTCTATATACTGTAAGTTCATATACTTAGAAGGCAACAATACCTGGACTTGTGGGCTTGGACTAACAAACGTCTGAGCGCCACGAAAGTCCCAGACTGAATCCTGCGGGAGTTCAGTGCGTGGGTTTTGTACCGGCTGTTGGATATATTAGGATTTTCAAAGTACATATTTGGAGAAACGAGAAAAAGAGAATGCATGTGAACGATAGAGAAATGATTTCGACTGATAGGACTAAAAATGAAGACTGATGCGACTAAAGACATCGAGCATGGCGAGTCAGAAAACGGATTATATTTCTATGGAAATCATCCTGTTGATGATGTAAGAAAGCAAGATTCAAGCAAGAGCCAAAGTTGGATACTAATCAAAGTACCGACTACAGTGGAAGGTGAACGGATAAAGAGATTGAACTTGCAGCATATCAGGCTGACGTAGAGAGAATTCTGAGAATTTCCACTGAGCTGGAGAGGAAAGAGTCAAAGTCAAATGTTGACAGATTATTCTCACTTTTTATAATATATTGCAAGCAACGAGTGAATTGGTTGATAAAGTAGGATCTTTGATTGATCTATATACTTCTATATACTGTAAGTTCATATACTTAGAAGGCAACAATACCTGGACAGCTAAATTGCAGTCAATTGAAACAGGTAGATTGCAGGCGGCAGTGGATCGCTTACTTCTAACAAGCCGAACTGGGCGAAAAAATTAAGGACTTTGCTATTTCATGTGATATTGTCCGAACGACATCATCAAAAAGCTGACTCGGCGCGGCTTGGTCCAGTACAGGCCACTCCCGAGGTACGAGAGATTCAGGACGAAAACGAGTACGATGACAAACATGGGGATTTTACAAGATGTGTGCGAATCTCTAGGTTAAACTATCTAAACGTACGAATGACGGACACTCTCTGGTCCAATTAATGGTCCCCTCAAGGTGATACTGATGTATCAGAGAACCTTGTACTCCGAATTGGGCTAATATCAACCTTACCCCCTCTTGGGAGGACGTATCATCCAACACCTGTCTTTAGAACAGCAAATTCAGAACCAAACCTGCTTGTCTCAACACTCTTTTGCTTTTTCGAATACCAGACAATAGGAGCTTTGTTAACAAAGATCAACACCCCTGTTCTTGATTGACAAGTAACAACGTTAGAAGCATGAGATGCATCAACAAAAATAGTAAACTCTACCGCTTTGCCAAGAGGTGTAGGCATGTCACTTGGGAGTTCATCCTTATTGAATTCATAGAACTGTGAGTAATCAGCTTTCTTTAATGGTCTCAGATGATCAGCATAACCACAATCCATCACAAGTATACGATCAGGATGCTTCTGTAAATAGGCAAAAATATGAAAGGCAGCATGAAAGTGACCTTCACAAGGCATTGCATTGTAAGACAAGAGCATAGACACTTTGGCGGCGACATTGATACGACCAAGTTCCACAAGCCAGCGCAGAATACCGATGAGTTGCATGTAGAAAATAGCAGTATCATCATCAACAAAAGGAGTAGAATCAAGTTCCGGCTTGTATCCAGTGGGTAAAG